ACGTGGGTAAAGTATAAAGTCTTTTTTTACATTCTTATGTAGACTTATAATGATTTCTTTTAATTTTTAATGAAAACTTTTCGATTTTACTGCTTGTCGCGTATCATATATCTTCAAAATTCATCAGTACGGCCGAACCACTCCATAGTATGCCAGGATTGCCAGGTATGCCAATTCAAGATCCTGCAATGCCTGCGTTGTGGTTTTTTGTGCTGCCCTCTAATTAGGTGAGTTAGGCTTTAACATTAAGGGCCGGTTTCTCAATAGCGAGTCACCTCCGGGTTGTTTTTAAGTTCAGAGTAAGCGTGTGAAGTTGCAATGTTTACCCTGGAGTTATGTCTAAACGGAGGTAACGCTACTGAGAAACCGTCCCTTAGTGCGCGTTTATTGACACCGCTCGAGCGGTGAGCGTTGCGCGATGTCGCTGTAGTGATGCCCAAAAATAATTTTAACATTATATTTCAAATGAACATGGTCACACTAGAGCGGCGCGTCCCGCGGTGTTAACATGTTCACTTGAAATATAATGTTAAAATTATTTTTGGGCATCACTACAGCGGCATCGCGCAACGCTCACCGCTCGAGCGGTATCAATGTGAACGCGCACTTAGGCCCAGTTGTACAATCTCAGTTCAAAAAAAAGTTCAACTAAACTCGACTGGTACTTGAGCTTTCCCATTTAAAATACATTGCTGTCAGCTATTAATCAAATTATCTTAATTTTGACAGCAATGCATTTCAAATGGGAAAGTTCAAGTACCAGTCGAGTTCAGCTGAACTCTGTTTTGAACCAAGATTGTACAACTGGGCCTTAGGGTATTTTTAGCATTATGGAAAAATTGGTTTGAAAAAATCTCAAGCAAAAAAACAAAATCGACGTGTCCGAGCTTCCATACTTTATATAGGTTCACCCTGTATATTTTAAAATAAAATATACATTTCTTTGATAATTCAATTTTTTTTATCTCGCAGCAGTAGGGGCCCGGTAAAATTTTTGAGCACGGGCCCGGAGCATCGTCACTACGCCACTGGTGGCTGCATGTTTCTAACGCAAGGGTTTCAGGGTTTGTGCCAGGAAGGACAACAAACAAGAGGGAATTGCATCTCTCTCTGCACTATGGCGGCTATTGATAACAGCTGTTGGAAGTGTTTGGATCATTGAGGTTAGGAAGATGAAGAAGCTCTTCTTTCTTTTTCGTTGATCGCAATGAGTGCGAGCGAGACAACAATCCCTCTGTATTGCTGGGTTGCATATATCAAAATTTGGCACACTAGCATAAAGCAGTGCGCTCGTTCCAGAGTGTTTCTTTAGTTCAATGATCACAGGTTATGATTCCGCGGGCTTTTGCTTTATGCATACTTGGTTTAACTACATTAATCAACATTCTAAAACAACTCTTTTTTTAGATCTCGTTTCGATCTTCCTTTTTGCCTATTATATTAATCAAAATTAAATAATATTTTTCATCATAAATTCTAAACTACCACGTCTAGTGCAAACAGCTGACGACTTAGTTATGACGTCGGAAATGGTGACACCAATACGGCGGCGATTATCAAAAACGAGACCGATAAGCAATCCTTAGTAGTGTGTATTAATTATCCTTGAGTGCTTGTGAGTTGATTTTTTCGTCGATTTTACATGTAGAAAAGTTGATTTTAATTCGTTTTTTTTTACCTATAACGTTTAAACTCTCGGATAATGGGTTTTTCGCCAAGAATTGAGGTCTGAGACTTACATGGCAGTCACTTTCACCTCAATAAGCAATCGTATTAGTTCTGGGCTGAGTTCGGGTTTCGCTCTATAAACTCTGAGTGCGCCCGAAACGATAAGATAATCAATTAACGGCGATTAACCAGTTGGTTATATGGGCAGATGAACAATGCATTTAAAATTTAACGTCATTCAATACCGATTGGTGACAGATTGGTTGACAAACGATGTTTGCTTTATTGGTTATCTGTCAACTATGACCGTAACCGGTTAATCAAGGGTTAATCGCCTTTAATCGATATATGTTCGTTTTAGCTCTCGAATTACCAAGTGTTACTTTTGAAAAATTATAACCTAAAATATTGTCAAAAAAAATTAATTCAGTATTTTTTTCCTCTGCGTTCGGCTTATGACCTTTTTCAGAGCGCATTCTGCGTATGACGTCACGATATCTATGCTCATACCGTTACGCTCACGTGCCTCTGGTTTAAACTTACCGGGTTACAAGACGGTTAGTAGCGGTATGTCAATTGATGACGTCATTGAAAATGCAGAAACGAACGGTTAGAAAAATGTTATTTTAAATTAGGAAATCCAATGACCTGTCAATATTTATAATAGGTAGATGTAGCCTCTAGTAACTGCGCCAAAATTTCACGTATATCTTGAAAAAGAATGTCCTTATTAAGTATTTTAACTTCAATTGCTTCTATGTTCATCAACTGATTAGGTAGGTAGAAACTTTAAAATAATTTTAACAAAAGACACACAGCTGTATGCAACATCCTCTTTTAACTTGAAAGCGCTTTTTAAAACTGTTACCTTAAAAAATTTGTATTGCTTAGAATACACATTTTTGAAAGTAACCAGTTCTAAAAAGCGCTTCTAAGTTAAAAGAGGATGTTGCATACAGCTGACAATTTTTTATTTTAGTTTACACCTCACAATTTTCTCGCTCACAAATTTTCTATTTTTTTTTTGGTTCTAACCGTTAAACGTAACCATATTAGGCCAAGGCACTTAGCGAAATAACAGCCATATTTTAACATAAAATTTAACAGCAAACTATCGATGCAATATTGTTAAGGAAGGATCGGATGGTTTTGCTACTATGGCAATAGTTTTAGAACATTGAAAAAGCTTTACAATGAGCCATCATACAAACCTGTAGGTCTTTTAGTCTTCGAGAAATGATTTTTTTCCCCCCAAAAAAGAGATTTTCGTAAAAAATTCCTAACTTTTTTTAATTTTCATGCTAGACAATAAATTTTTTACACATACATAGTAGATGAGGCAGGCTTTATTGAGCCCAAATTTGGGTCCGGTCCGTTGGGTCGTTTCGGCATAAAATCAGGGCTATGCAGTAAGGACATTGACTTGAAGTCAAGGTTGAAATGAGACATAAAATTGAAATTGTACAGACATTTCAATATTTGCTATGCAGTAAGTCCACTTTTCAATTATTGACATTTTATAATTTCAAGATGTTGAAATGAAATCAAGTGACCTCGTGAATTTCAATATTTGGTATGCAGTAAGGAAAAATATTGAAATAAATTCCAAGTCAACTTGAAAAAAAGTCAATAATCCTAACGTAACGCAAAATTTAGCCCGGTAGAAACCTTGAAATGATGTCAACAACAAAACTTAACCTAAAACATTTGTTTTTTTGAGATTTTGTTGGGAGTTTCTTTTATTTAATTATGTGAAATTCGATTTTTGTGAAGCTGTGGAAGAAAAATGCATTTGTTTTTTATATCAATTCAAAATAAAATTCAGAAATGGGTAGTTCAAATCAAATCATATTTTGCCGCATAGTGCAAATTACTCAATTTACACAATTTGCTTTACAGTACCCAGGTATAGGGCCTTAAAGCAGTTAAGTCCCATATGTATACCCACATACTCGCACTCCCTTAATCTTTTAATATAGGTAGGTACCTATACCTAGGCCCCCTGTCTTTTAAAGTTTCCTAATTTTAAAGCTGATGCTGATGTACCTTCCAACACATTAAAATTTGTCTCAAAAGCACAATTGCCTATTAAAAAATGTAGGTACTTTCTACAATACAATAAAGGTATAAAATGAAATGATTTAAACTTGACTAGGGTAGAGCTTCGCTTTGCTAGATAAGAAAAATCTGCTCTTAAGATGACGAAATTGGAGCTGAAAAAATCAAGTTAGAAATTGAGGAGAAGAGAATTTTTATCGTGTCCAGGGAAACTATTCTTTACAACAGAGTCGTGATTGTGAAAAAACAGTTGGTGGAAAATTATTGTCCTTGAATTATAATAAATAAGTACATCTGCATATTTTGGTTAACGTCATGTTTATATTTACTTATTTGAAGTATTATCATTATCAGATTGTTAATTAATTTATTCAGGACTTGCAGGCTCTTTTCTATGGTAAATAAATAGATTTTGAAAACCTTGAATTTTTTTCATGTATGTTCACATCAATGGATTTTCCTAAACACACAGTACATAAGTCTCGACCTAGGTATATGCTCACTATGTATTCCCATCTTTATACAAAATAAATTCATCTGGCTTTCGACTTCGGTCTCGATTCTGGATTTCCATTCCCTCAAAATCTATTTGAGAAAATAAACCCAAAAGCAGTGTTTTACCCATATGTTCTAATTTGCCAATGATCTATTTGCATTTTTTTTATAAGCTCAAGAACAAATTTCCACTCACTCTAAATCCACAAAAAAGGTAAAGAAAGTAAAAATTAATAATTAGACTTGACTAGGAAAATCAAAACAAACTTTCAGTTTGTATTTTTAGGTTAGGAACCCCTCGAAAACTCTTCTTTTTTCACGATTTTACAAAGAATTACAACGTTGCCACATAAAAACTTGACATCAATTTCAATGTTTTTCTATTTCAATAAAATTAAATCAAGGGTACTTACAGCATACCAATTTTTTTCATTATTGAAATGCAAGTCAATATTTATTGGAATTATTTCAACCTTGACTCTAAACTCAATGTCGTTACTGCATAGGGCCGAATACCCTTGTCAAGCAAAATGGGGATGTTTCTAAAGCAGTCTGTCGAATTGAGGATAATTTTTTTATATTTATTTTGAAAAGTCCACTGATAAGTCGAAATGCCAAACTATCGATCCCCTATCTCAGATTTTCCATTTAATTTTTTTATCGCAAATAAAACGGCTTCGAACATGACTGAAAATGGAAAAAATTGACGAGAATTCAAACGGAGTAGGCAGCCAGCTCATCCCCGCTCACGCATATTACATTTTTTGTTGACAAATCGTTAGATACCGTTCTGTAACCGCGGCATGTTGAACCGGAGCATGATGAAAACGCTTCGCATTGCATTGCTGCCAGAGTACCTGCTTTGCATTTCCTTTGTTTTGTTTTTCGGTTTTCAAATTTCAACTATCGACATTTTAAGCTCAAGCCTCGCACGAAAATCAATTCCGTCCCCCGTACGGACATGTCTCAAGAAACGTATAAAGGTTTAATAAAGTATCTAGATGCCCTAGAATACCCCGACTCGCAAAACCTCAATTTTTCCAGTAAATATTTCACTAAAGCCTCTAGCAAACATCTAAGAAAATTGCTTTTTGCTTTCAGATGAAAAGACAGTCAGAGAAATTGTCCTCTGGCTGGAAACCAACAAGCTTAAAAGTGCTAAGAGCAGTGTCCTTAAAGGTTTACAAAGCCAAAACTCCGAAGAGTGGAATAAACATTTCGAAGAATACACAGGTTCCTGCGGAGGCTTCTCTTTCAACTCTCCTTTAGAAAAACTCCATTGGTTGCTGGCAAAAGCTTTGTGTAATGAATATGCCAAGAATAGTAAATATTTTGCAATGATAAATTTTTATTTATAACTTTTTCAATTATTACTATTACAGAACAATTGTACAACTCTCATGCTGTTGAAAAAATCAAGGCTTCAAACGTGCCCAAGGTAGTTGCTGAAAACCCTCTGGATCGACTTGATTGTAAGAACTTGCTTAGGCATATTTTATTTAATCATAAAAAATAATTGTTATTGAATTGCAGACTCCACTCAAGAGAGTAAAGACAGGATAAACGAATTAGCCAAGCTTCTCAAAATAACACCTTCTCCAGATCATTTGGTAACATTGAGCGCAGTAAGGAAAGTAATCTGTTCAAGACTGTCTTTGGATTGTGCTAAAAATCCTGAAAATGTTATTGTTAAGGTAAATATACTTATTAGAAAATTTTGGATTAATTTTCTTTGCTTTTCCATCTATAGACGACCGTCTTACTACTTCTATTTTGTAAATATACTTGTTGAATAATGTTTAACTTGCCTAATCCATAAATTATTTTTTTAGGGTACACCGTTTCCTTACAAAGAAGTCCCAATGGGCAAGGATTTCAAAGATCCATCACTTAACGAGGCAGTGAAAATTTTGCAGTTGCTAAACATCGGCGATATCAGGGATTTGCAAACTAAAGCAAGCGAACTTATTGTTACCAAACAAAAAGCAACTGCAGATCCGAAAACTGACACGAAAATTGGAAAAGTTGGAGTCAATGGGAAATAAATTTTCTCTGCATAAACAAACCAAATGAACAATTTAAAAAACAGTTTTTATTATTAATTTACAATAGTTTCTTTATGTTGTGGATTCTCTCATGGGATTCTTATCAAATATTTCTGATATTCCCAGAAGTATTGCACCTTGAAAGAATTTGTTTTGTAATAAAATAAATGAAATCATTATGAATGATTGTTTTTACCTGTTCCCAAAGCTGTGGTAAATATTCTAGCTCTTGGTTTATAGGTTTTGGCTGTATGAATTAAATAAATGCCGATGCTGGGAAAACAGAGAATAGCGATAATTTTGCAAGAAAGACAACTTTTTTTTACATTATTTTTCATATGCTTTTCTGAGTTTTCCATTTTTAAATTTTCATAATTTTAAAATTAAAAATAACCAAATAACCTCAACTTATTTTTAGATGAAGAAAATTGGGATCTAGGGAATACAATCTAACTCTGACAACGTGGCATTCTTTTGATCTGCCGCCAATCTTCCTAAATCCAAGAGCGTGAACCGGTTGCGTTTGGAGTAAAATTTTAGGGCCGTGGTCGTGCTAGCAGAACTTCGAACTGACCTTTGTGGAACGAGTCTATTTATCAAATGACTGTTGCATTGCCCTGCTATACTCTGATCATTTACCATTCTCAAATCAGTTGCTAGTCTAATCGAACTAGCTCTAGAGCGGCAATTTTTGTAAGCACCTAGAAAGAAGCATGCCATGAATGACAATTTTGACACTCGTCAGTCGTTCGGCCATCTTGCTTTTAATTTTTTTCTTGTGTATTGTATACGTTTTCGCTTGTGAAGACTTGAGGACTCTTCATTATTTAACACCTCGTCTATTTGGGTTTTCCAATCTTTCGTTCGAAAAGAAAATTTGTGCATGTCAAGAACCATTTCACCTAGTTTCTTCCCAACTATTTCTTAAAGTGACCTGGTCTCAGCATGGCAGCGAAAACTCAAAATGCCCCCTTTGAGGACCTCTCGAACGTTGAGTTCGAAACCAGTGAAGATGTCGAAGTTATTGATACATTCTCCAGTATGCACCTCAAAGAGGAACTTACAAGGGGAATCTATGCATATGGTAAGTGCCTTACAGATAAAAATGTTCAATAATTCCTATTAGAAAGGTTTCGCCGATAGGTAATAGGTATCTAGGTCAGGTTCTTGATCTTGTTACACTTGATCCCATTTTACGTATATCATCTAGAAGTGACTAGTGCTCGGTAACTAACCACCAATGTAGATTCATCAAGAACCGCTCAGAAATTACAGTGTGGTCAATATTGGCCATTCTAGTCTTAGAGCAGATAATTTCCTAAGTGAGAGGAGTAGGAACATGAAGTTGGAAAATGAAGCCGTTTTTTTCAGTTATTTTGAGATCCAAAATAATGGCGGTATAGCTAATTCAATGCTTTACCTGTCATTTGGTGTACAAACATCTGCTAAAAACTCGCTTCACTTGTTTCATAGCAGAATACTCCTTATGTCCGTAGGACAGCGCTTTACCTGCTCATTCTAGTACATTACAGATGACTAGACAATTTGCTCTGTTGGGAAAACTCTTTTTTATAACCAAAAATGATATAATTTTAGCATTTTTCGACAAGTTGTTGACCTAGAAAGCTTCAGATGATGTTATTTTCATATTTTTCCACACTTATAATTTGACAACAAAATGATTGGTTGCCCCCCAGCGTGACTTATGGCTGTTTGCACGGCTATAACTTAAGGAATATTTAATCTAACTGGAACTTTGAATGTGATTTTTGTTTCTACAAGAGTCACTTTCAAAGTTCCACTTAGATTAAATATCCCATTCTCGATCCCATTATAGCGGTGCAAATACCTGTTAATACTGGAATGGTCAATTTAATCCCTAATAGAATGATGACTGAACTCCTAGAGTTCCTAATGCAGTAGGCCTATTAGATGCTAGATGCTATCAAGCTTATCCTGTAACTGGTGAGGTAGAGTTTCTCAAACCCCACAGTTTTTAAGAATCTGTACCACATATTAAATAGTGGTGCTATTTATCGCCTGTGTAGCTTTTGGTCTGTTGTCCATCAGTACCTCGATCAGTACCCTAACAGTATCAACAACATGCGATATTTTATAAAAGAGATAGTAATTAAGTAGGTATCCAAAATAACAAAAGTTAAACAAAGTCATTCAAAAAACTGAACACAAATGTATCTGAAGTATTGTTCCTATACACCAACACTTGTTCTATTCTGTCAAAGTTTGATGAATACTACGCTGAAAGTCTGCTAAATAGCTAGCTTTTATTTTAATAACAGAGTCCTGGCTACACAAGGACATTCCTACAATGGTAGGCATACCAAATTATTCTTTATTTCGAAAAGATAGAGAAAACAGAAAAGGGGGTGGAATTATAATTTGTGTACATGAAAGCATTGCAGGGTCCTTATTTATTTAATTTTATTTATTTTAAGTGTACAGAGCAAAAATATCTAAATGGTACACATTTGCAGAACTAAAAACAAAAACAAACTACAATAATAAAGACAAGAAAAAGCTAGTAAGGTATAGCTTTTTTAACTGAACTCAGATTAGTGTTAAAGAAATGACTATTATAGTTTGTGGCAAGTCTAGTCATCAGACAGTTTTGGCCATTTTGTTCTGTGGACTGGTTGGAAAAATAGTTGCCTTTGTCTAGTTCTTCTGCCAGGGACCAGGAAATGGATATCCTGTAAAAGTTCAGGTGAACAAGTAATACCACATACAGCTTATACAAGATCAATTGTGCATTCCGGCATCTATTTTTCAGGCTAGTTAAGCCACACAACAGCAAACGAGTTTTGTAATCCACATCCTGATAAGGAAATCTTAGTTTATATAACAAGTATTTAACAAATTTATTCTGTACTCTTTCGATCCTCTGGATGTGACAATTTCCAAATTATACTACAGTATTCCAATGTAGACCCTATTAGACTGTAGTAAAGTGTGGTTATTGCTTTGACATCATACATATCTCTGGTGTTTCTTTTGATAAAGCCGAGCAGTCTAAAACTCTTATTCTTAAGCACATGGGAGCAGCGTTCCCAGGAGAATGAGTTGTCTTTGTTACTTATATTATCATTTCCATATCATCGAGAAAGACAGAACACTCGTTTTCCTGGGAACGTTGCTCCCCTATTTCAAGAATGAGGGCCCTGGTGTCAAACCCACAGTAACAATAAACCAGAGATTCCAACCGCCTGATGGTATTGATGCGATTTTATTGGATATCACACTCTCAACGCTTAAGCTCTCTTTAGCATGCATATACAGACCACAAAACATACCTATTGAAGAGGAACCTCTGGAACAAGTACCAAAACTCCCCGGTCTTACCAGGAGTATAGAACTCAAAATAACCTACTGAGAAATTTACTGCAACGAGCAAAATAACAATATGAACACGGTTTGCTCACAAGATCTGATAAATAATTCTAGTCCTACATGAAAAGAACACTCAATTCAAACTCTACTACAAAATCTATTGTTCTGAGAGACCAGGATACCGAAGATATAATTGGAGATTTAAAGCAGACTTCGGAAACCTTGGCAAATCAATTCACCATATTAGTTAGGTTAGAATCGCAAATTGGCGCGGGTTCCTAGTTCAAAAATTAATACATTGATGTCTTATGGGGACTCAATTTTAAAAGCGTCTGTCGACGTGATAGAACGTTTGTTAGGGAAGTGAGTCGTATAAATAGTTTTTTTTAATATATTAATTAACTGAGAGAGTGTTTGAAAGTTGTATAAACATTGTTAAAATAAAAATATTACCGATTTAAGAAGCCATACATAAGTATATATATGGGTACCTATAATTATACTTACAGCTGGTTTTAGACCCGACGTACGTCCACCGAAAACAGACACTTTTAATTAAAATCATTTGTATTTTTAATTCATAGGTCTAAAAAAACAATTAGAGCATGAATTATAGAAAAATATGTTCAAAGTTTGACGTATAATAGGTTCAAATACTAAGAAATGCCCAGAACCCAAGATATTCCCGTTTGAAAATCACACTTTTGAATCCCCCATAAGAATTACATTGCTGTCAAATTTGTTGAAATGTGTTTAGGAACCCATTTTAAATTTCGCGCCCGATTTTTCCTAACCTTACTAATATGATGAATTTGAGAAAGTCTTCACCAGAGAAGCAGTGCAAATTTTCCCAAGACTAAGAGGTGAACGTTCAGTTGCCCAAATAACATCAGCATCAGTCGAATTTACGCCAAAAGAGTTTTGCAAAGTTGAGTGCAGAGTGCGGTCCATTTTATTTGATCACTTTAAAATATAAAAATACATTTTGTATGTACCTACCCTTTCAGGTGTAGATCACATCAATATAAAAAAACAAAGTTTTAAAAAACCTTAAAATAATAAACTTCAGCCCCGGCTCGAGCCCCGGTCCTGACAACCTTCCAGCCATATTTTTGAATAAAACTCAAACTCAAAATCTCTTTATTTAAAATAATTATATATGTACAATAAATACTTAAAGCTAACCGGGCTGGGGCCCCTTAACTTAAATATTTACAGACAATTACTAAACCTAGGACAAAGACTACTTAAGGCTAAAACTCCGGCGTGACGCAGCACGCCGCCGCACACTTGCACGCCTAGCGTACAGTGCGCGATCTCCAGCCCCGGTCGATGTTGTTGACCTATCGAGTCCCTGTACCTATTTTTGTTGGATACCTTTCTTCGACGCTTCCTGGTCTCCCTTATACGTCGCTTTTGTGACCCTAGAGTCGTTGGTGAATACCACGAATGGCGCGCACTAGATCACCACAGTGACCTGTCTGAGGGTATTGGTTGTTTGCTCAGATTTGGGTTGTAGAGCGCCAGCGCCCTTCTGCGGGGAAAAGCATAGAAAACCCCGCTTATCATTAATGAATAAAACAGCAGCCAGTAAAAGTGAACCACTCTCATCGGCAATGAACAATCTGATGGAGAATGGAATAGTGCCAAACGAGTGGACCAAGGCAATCATAACGCCCATCTACAAGAAGGGAGAAAAACACAAATCTGGAAATTATCGTCACATAAGTTTAACATGAACTTTATGTAAGTCAATGGAGAGGGTTGTGGCCGATAAAATCAAGGATTTTGTTCTGGAAAAGGACGTTATTCCTGCAGACCAACATGGATTTCTACTAGGACGATCCATTTCTACAAACCTGCTTTCGTGTTTAAACAAGTGGACAAAAGAAGTGCACTATCCACTTCTTTTGGGGCTGTTGATGTTGTTTATCTTGTCTTTGAGAAGGTGTTCGATAGGGTTCCAATTTAAAACTGCAATAAAAGGACTACAAAATTATTTGACACTAAAGCAGAATGAAAAATACTTGGGTATAGTCTACCGCCAACATCGAAAATATTGGAAACAAGCAGACACACAAGAAAATGAAAAAATTGAAAATACAAACCCACAGGAGGAAACAGTGAACAAAAATCAAAGTTGGAAATAGCTCACTCACACGAATCTGAAAGCCGAGACGGAGACGGAATCACTTATAACAGCAGTCAGGAGCAAGCCATTGCAACGAACTACATGAAGACAAAAATTATGAAAACCGGCACTGACCCCAAATGTAGACTGTGCTGAGAGTACAATGAAACCATTCATCACGTTGTGTCAGGCTGCCCTATCCTCGCCAAACAAGTTTATTTAGACTGCCATAACGCTGTAGCAAAAGTACTACACTGGAGCATATGTAAAGCATACGGCATAAAAATCTATGAACGATGGTATCAACACGTCCCTGACCCTGTCATTGACATACCTGAAACAACGATAATCTGGGATAATCAAGTACAAACCGACAGGAAAATAACTGCAAATAAACCAGATAATATTATAAAAGACAAGAAACAAAAAACATATCTTTTGATTGACATGTCGATAACATCACTCCTATGCATCACTCAAAAGGAGGCCGAGAAACGTCTGAAATACAAAGATCTGGAAATTGAAACTCAAAGAATGTGGAATCTCAAAACCAAAGTCATCCCGATTGTCATCAGTAATACGGGACTAGTATCCAACTATACATGCGAAATCATCAAAGAAGGCCCTGGCAACCACAACATTCTAAGCATGCAGAGAGCAGTAGTGCTGAACACCACTCACATAGTGCAAAATGTTATATAGTAATCTTTTCAAAAGAGACCCCTAGGTACATGGTATGCACCTGGTGTCTCCTCAGATAACATATCACAGAACCTGGGTCCTTATTCTTGAAACAGGGGAGCAGCTTTCCCAGGAGAACGAGTGTTCTGTCTTTCTCAGTGATATGGAAATGATAATGTAACTAACAATGACGGAACACTCGTTCTCCTGGGAATGCTGCTCCCTTATTTCAAGAATAAGGACCCTGGAGACTGTGTGATGAGGAAGGTAAGTTATTATTGAATGGTTCTTATTTGTTCTGTTAAACAGGGTTATCGTTATGTATGGAAACAGCCTAATACATTTTTCTTGAGCGCATTCTGAAATATTTCCTACATTGAATGGCCAGATTCAATAGTGCTATTTGCAATGTTGCCAAGCGAGTTGCCAAGTTTACTGTTTCTAAGTTGCTGTATGTAACTTAGCTTCTTTATTTTTATTGTAATTAATTCAACTTCTTAACATTACTAAAACCCTTGAATGCCAAACCTCCATTTGACTGGGTTTTTGTAATATGACAAAACAGCTTTTTTATTGAAATGTTTGGAAACAATCTCATATCACAGAACAGGCTTTAGAAAGATGTGATAATGCGTATTCAAAATTTATAGGGGGGCTGGTAGGCCCAGGTAGGAAATATTGTACATTTTTCTATTTTTCCCTAGATTTTTCCTCTCTTACTCTTTTGCTTAGTCTGCCCACTTGGGTGGTATAATGATTCACAAATTTCATAGTTTAACGGCGAATTAACTTTTTTCACAATGTTTCCAAATTTCCAATGCATTTATTTTTCTTGAAATTTTTCAGCTGTTCATAATGCCATAACCTTCGCCCTAGCTGATCCCAATAACTCATTATTTTTATATTGTAGTGAACACAACTTTTGAATGGCCACTACTATTGCTATTTAAATTTTTGAAACCACTTGAAAAGATTTCAAACTTATTTTCAGGTTTTGAAAAGCCTTCAGCAATCCAACAGAGAGCCATCAAACCCATCATGAAAGGCAGAGACGTAATCGCACAAGCCCAATCCGGAACTGGTAAAACGGCCACATTCTCCATTTCGATTCTGCAGTCTATAGATTTAACCATGCGGGAAACGCAAGTACTTTGCCTGTCGCCCACAAGAGAATTGGCTGTACAAATTCAAAAAGTCATTCTGGCTCTCGGCGATTTTATGAACGTGCAGTGCCATGCTTGTATCGGTGGTACTAATCTTGGTGAAGATATCAGGAAATTGGATTATGGACAACATGTTGTTAGTGGGACTCCAGGAAGAGTCTATGGTAGGTTTAATTAATATTTTTTGTGAACGATTCTATATTAATTTGCTTGTTTTAGATATGATTCGTAGAAGAGCTTTACGTACAAGAGGGGTAAAAATGTTAGTCCTTGACGAAGCAGATGAAATGTTGAATAAAGGCTTCAAAGAACAAATTTACGATGTGTACCGATTTTTACCACCATCCACACAAGTTGTACTTATTTCTGCTACCCTACCTCACGAAATTCTGGAAATCACATCAAAATTCATGACAGATCCAATTCGTATTTTAGTAAAACGTGATGAATTGACATTGGAAGGAATCAAACAATTCTTTGTGGCTGTAGAAAGAGAAGAATGGAAATTTGACACATTGTGTGACTTGTATGATACTTTGACTATAACACAAGCTGTTATTTTTTGCAATACCAAAAGGAAGGTCGATTGGCTGACTGAAAAAATGAGGGAAAACAATTTTACTGTTAGTGCTATGCACGGTGACATGCCTCAAAAAGAGAGAGATAATATTATGAAGGAGTTTAGATCAGGACAGAGTCGTGTTTTGATTACTACTGATGTATGGGCAAGAGGTACAATTCTAAGGCTTCGATTATTATTATTGCTACTAAAAATATTAATTTTTAGGTATTGATGTACAGCAAGTCAGTTTGGTAATCAACTACGATTTGCCAAACAATCGTGAGTTGTACATTCACAGGATCGGTAGGTCTGGTCGTTTTGGACGTAAAGGTGTTGCAATTAATTTTGTAAAGTCTGACGATATCAGAATTCTCAGGGATATCGAACAATATTATTCGACGCAGATTGACGAGATGCCCATGAATGTTGCTGATCTTATCTAAGTAATTTATTTATAAAAAAGTTTTCTTATATTGAATTAAGAATATCTCCAATCATTTTGTTAATTTCTTTATATAAAATATTTTTTTTTGTACAATAAGGCTTGTCAAAATAAAATTATAACTTCCTTTTTATATTATTTTTTGTTCCCATTTCAGCGATAACTTACTTTAAATGTATTTCTCAATTTTTTCCCTAATCCAGGCTCTTGAATTGTCCTTGTTTTTCTTCGATAAATAAAAGACATGCAAGAGAAGTAAATGAAGTTTAAATGCAGTTCCTATATTTTCACAGTTGCAACCTAAGGTGGCCACACTTCCAAGTCGAATAAACAAAGTGAGGGGGCTCAAATTTCACGTCAACTTGCAAAATTGTTCATTTGCTGTTTTTTGAAAGTTTGATTTGTTCCAAAATGACATTTTGCTTCACAACTTTGTTAATTTCAATCCGATTTTAAAATAATTAGGCTCGAATTGAGGCCACTTGGATTCTGTACAAATCTCTAACATCTCATCACTCTGAGCACAGCTTCAATAGTTTCATTGCTGCAAAAATTCAAAGTCTTTCAACTTCATTTTCATCAAGGTGAGAGAGCCAGCATGACAGTTGCATGAATATTGAAGAATTTGTTTCCATTGAATGATTTAAATAAAGATTTCTCAGGTGATTCGATTTTGTACACAAAGCCTGTAGTTTGCAAGTTGTCAGTCAGTTTTTATAACAGAACCGTTGTGTAAAACCAAGAACGTAAGAAGACTGATCAAAATTTACTGTTGCTGAATTTAACCAAAACTTTATATTAAAGGATTTTCAATGAACAATAATTAGCAATAACTTCTCCCTGGATTTAAAAATGTATACATTTCTGGGTTCTTTTCTAAGGTAGTTTTTATTGTTCAAGGAATTGGAATTACTAAAAGGAAAAATATACAAATCAAGAAGCAAGAAAAGCGGTTTTAATTTCATGATCCAGCCAATGGAAATCGCTTAAGAACAGATAAAAACTAAACGCATACATTCTGGTTCAGTTCATAGTTTCTCATTAATTGAAAATAATGAGAGAATTTATTAGGTTCGTTCCAACCCAGCCAAAAACCGTTCAATGTACGGTCACGGTCATGCGCCATAGGTTAAACGCGTTCCAACCGAGAGATGATCGTTTACCGCACAGTTTCGTTGGCGTTCCAACCAAACCTGGGATCGTTCGAGAACTGGTTTTAGCACCGTCATTTCGATCCCGAGTGGAAAGCAAGAACCGCGTGGACTGATCCATGACTGACATGCGTAATTCAATTTTTGTCACCTGTTTTTGTTGTTCATGTTGTTGTTAAACAACCAATTTCCAATCTAACTTATAAAACTGTAGCATTTTTATTTTTTCAAGTGAAAAAAAGTACAAAATTTATTATCAGCTATTTATCGCTAATCCTTGATGTTATCAGCTTGCATGGATTCAGTTTCAGATTCTTGATAATGAATCAGCGTTGGTGTTCGATTTTCCTTTTTTATATATTAATTTGTAATCCTAATCCTATATTCTTCTATTTTAATTTGCAAACAAACAAATTAAGGGTTAAAGTTATTTGAACTGTCGTCATTACGGAAAAGATCATAAAACCGTTCCAACTACCCGTTGTTTCTGTACCAAGATAAAACCGTGCAAGGTCAACGCATGCGCCTGCAATCGATCCTAACAGTTCCGAAACCGTTTCATGACGATACGAAAACGGGGGGTTGGAACGAACCTATTATAAACCACAAAACTTGAAACAAAGAACACAAATAAAAAATATTTTAAAACACTTAAAATTTAAACTCTTTGTATTTCTTGGTTGTTTTCGAATCTGCTTGTTGCCTCTTTCTCTTGCTCTGAAAAAAATTATAAAAATACTCAAATAAATTAATAATAATTACTGTCTTACCTTTTGTTTAGCAACATGTTCAGCCAACATATCACTCAAATCCTCCTTTTGTAATTGAGACTGGTTTTCCCTTATCTGCTGTTCATATCTCACAGCCATAGCATCACTATCCATATCTAATTCAGAAGGATCCAGTGCCAATTCAACCATACCTTCACGATCAGTGGGCCTAGCAAAAGAAGATTATCATGTAAAACATATTTTTATTGATCATTTCATAATACCTTCTGATTGGCACAGGATTTTGTGCAGCTCCCATAGATGCCAAATCGTACACGTGAGTACTGCCCATCATGGCGTTACCAATTCTCTCAGTACGTTTTTCAGGGATGACATGGTACAATACTTGCGAGTCAGTCCTAAAATCATACAATTAATAAAATCATTTGAACTATAGAGGCAACTTACGTTTCCATTTCATTTTCAATTTTCTTCTTTCTCAGCTCAATTGCTTCAGGAGTCTCCATACCAGCAGGAATACTAGTAATACCACTAGGAGTAACCAAGCCTTCTGCAGGAGTCACCAAGCCTGACTCATCAGGAACCTGAGTTTCAGTTTCCTCTTCATCATCCTCTTCTTCTTCACTTTCTTCCTCGGATTCTGACTCCAGCTCGCCCCATAGGCTTCTGTCAACTGATGGATCTTCACCAATATCCTAAATGAATAATTGAGTAATTAATTTTCTGTAAAAGCTAAAGTTAGAATTCTTAATTACATCGATATGGATCTGATTTGTTCCAAAAACATCTCCGTATAAAGGTTTGCCATTTTCATCAACTGGAGGTTTACCCCAACCGCCAGCGTGATAGCCAAAAGAACAAGTTTCAGGAATGGGCGCATTTAATCCAGGGATTTTCAAATTGGGATAACTAGGTGGCGGTCCGTATCTTTGCATCGCAATAAGCCACGGAGGTGGGACTTTGTTGGCGTTCGGACCCACCGGCATACCCAAAGCGGTTCTCAGTTCCTCGGAAAGATCACCTGGCTTCTTTTCCTTTAATCTAGTTTCAAATTCTTTGCCTTCGTAGTACAAATCACCGTGGATTGTCATTTTTGGTTTGGTTTGCCACCTGAACACATAAAAAAAAATGGGTCAAATTACCGTTGAAAAAATCGAAAAAGTTCTTACTTGAAAAATGCATCGTGAAGTTTCTGATAATCAATATCGATTTTGCCCAATTTCGGCCTGGCCCTCTCCCTCATTTTAGCCTTCAAAGTCTTGGATTCGTCTTTCTCCTGCAAAGAAGCACGCATTTCCATGATGCCTGTACGTTTAATAAATTCTGGCAGATTAAACGGTGGCTTTTCAATACCTCTTTTGCCCTGAAGGTATTTGCGTTTGAAACACCAATGTCTAGGAACCTAAACAAAAAAAATACAAATTCCGAAAAGGGACTAATTTAATGGGTGTTTAACATACCTGTACAGTATTCCTGTGAGCTTTTAGCTGTACAAGAAGTTTTGGATCACGGGCAGTGACATCGTGCATTTCCACTACATCTGGTCTATGCACCAATTGCTTTAATTCTGCCACACTCAATCTGGTCAATTTTTTTAGTTTTCTTTTTGACATTTTTGACTTATCTTCAGCTTTTTTCTAAAAAAAAAAATCTATTAAACTGAATTAGAATACTTTGTCTTGAACTTACATCCTCAAAGTCTTCATTATCTCCATCGTCATCGTCAACCATACCTTTAGGTAGACCAGATAATGAAGTGATATTAGCCAAAGTAGGAGGAGGAATATTTGATTTATCATCAGAAATTTTAAACTGTTCAAAAATACTGTAAAACTGACGATATTGTGGTGCCAACTCGTGCAAGCCAATTCTTTCTTGAACATACTCAATCTGAATATCTTTTTTTTCTGTTTCTTCTTCATCAACCATTTCGGAACCATTTAATTTTTCCTGTTCCTCGATTTCCTTCTGTTTATTTCTGGTCTTCTTTCGCTTCTTTTTCTTCTTATTCTTACTGACTTTCTCTTTTTGCTCTTTATTTTTGCCATTCTCAAGCTCTTTCCGTTCAGCTGGAGCCTCTATTACTGACTGAGCGGTACTATTTTCAACCTTTTCCCATTCTGGTTCTTCAACTGATTTTTCACTCTTTTCTTGTACTTCTTCAGTACCCAATTGCATTGCTCTCTGATTTTTTAAGGCCAATACTTCTTCCAGCGCTGGTGGTAAAACAGGTTCAGAAGTACCAGAAGATTCAATTTGAGGTGGATCTACCCTTAGAGATAACAATGATGGTAATGGTGCATCGGCTGCAGGAGGAGGTTGCATCATATGACTGTTACCTGAAAAAAAAAAGGTAGGTATAGTAAAAACACTATCTCTGCCTAGTAGAAATAAAGAATCAATTGAACAATATGCATTTTATTTCTCTGCAAATCCGCAATTACTAAATTTAATTGTGTAAGAAACAATAATTAATCTGTGAATTGTGGGGTGCCAAATTTAATTGAATAAAATTAACACATTCTTCTCTCTACGCAATGTACCGGTTTTTTTGAAGTATGAATTTTTCAAAAACACTCAGGTAACACTTTTAAACTTACTAGACTTAAGGACATAAGCCAAAGTCCGTGGATTTATCATTTCTTATCCTAAATGTCCGGATTTCTCAAAAACTATACATATAGAAACACTTTCAAACTCGCGAGGTTTAATGAAACCAAATTTCAGGATATGAAACGTTAATTTGTAAAAGGTCCTCCAATTTCTCAGTTCTGCCTGATAGCTGGTTTTCTCAAAAATAGTGGCACTTTTCAAACATGCAGGGTAGAAAAATTTTGGTTTATTCTATAAAACTAGAACCTGTGTATTTGAAAGCCTTGATCAAAAAAAGGCAGTACATGTTCAAAATAATTTTTCTACTAGAAACTTTTTGTTCTCTTGTAGTTTTTCCGAATCACCGACCCTTATCGAGAAAAAATTGACAAAACAAATCTTTGTAATTAGCTATATGAAACTACAGTGACTCAATAAACCGTTTCTACCTACAGTGGCGCCAATAGAGATCCCGCCTTCATATTCTTGCGCATTTTCAATAGGAATCTAGAAGTAAGATACGCCCTCGCCGCCATATTCTTGCTCATTCCAATATGAATACATTGAAATTTCAACACCCTGTAAATCGGTAATGAAGCGTTTGCGTACCTATGTTTATTAGAAATTTTACTCATAAAATAAACCAAAGAATCACCCCCTTCCGTTTGTACATGATATTTAGGAACACCCTGTATAGACTGATTTAAAGTAGTCCGTAAAACCTCTTAAGCACCAGCAGGTCTATTCTCAAAACCAGAGAACAGCGTTTTCATGAGAACGTTGTTCTCCTGTTTCGGGGAATAATGGCCCGGGTAAATACTATCACCAAAAGTCATCTCATCCAGGACATCCGGACTCTCTTTCAAGCTATTAATAAAATAAGTTCACAATTTTTTTTTGTATTGAGTGCAAAAGAAACCAAACCACAGTTTTCCAAACACACATAGAAAAATAAGACGACAATTCGAACATCAATTATACCAACATCACAAGTTAAAATTTGGAAAGTAGAAAAACATAACTTTACATAAAGATAAAAACTACTGAAAAACTTAATTATAATAAACATAAATTGGTAAAAAATTAAAGATACAACAGTCTACAAATTAAAAGAATAAATTAATTTATCCCTTGCAAAATGTAAGACCACCTTTTTGAATTTCCCTATTTCCTCCATATACCTGATATCAGTAATCTGTAGGCTTTAATACCCCAATAATTAGGGCCTTTTTCAAAAAAATGTGGAACGATGTGTGGGAATGCGGAGTTCATCCCTACCTCTGGTTAGTATACCAATGTTATTGGCATAGCCATCTTGATTGGTTGCGAAGAGGTGTTGATTTTTTTTGACAAAAGTGATCAGATCGACAAAATACAATCCAGGCACAGTAAGTTTATTCAAACCCTCAAAGAAAGGTCTACAAGAAGTTTCGGAGATGAAGATGTAGCATACATCTAATTATTCTTTTTTGAGTTTTTAAAATCAGAGAATTTGGATGCTTCTCAAAGAGCGATTCCATAATTTATCTGAGACTGCACATAATCAAAGTAGAAAAGTTAGATGCAGTGAAAGAACATGCTGTCTCAAAGTCTGCATATCAAGGCACATGTGCTATTCAGTCTGCATGTAATGTGCTCACAGCAGAGTCAATGTGGATGCCAAGAAACATCACAGAGGTCATGATTGGAATAGGTTTATAATTATAGTTTACATACATTCACATTACCCAGCATTCACCCTGCCTTTGTTAACCAAAGGCCATTTTCACTGACCCATTGTACCTAAACAAACCACAGACAAGCTTGAGAGAGTCCGCTTTGACAGCATGACTGATGTATCATCAGCATACTGACAGACAAGACCCCCATCCACCGAGCCAGGGGTCATTCAGATACAGTCAGAAGAGCATTGGCCCCAGTATGGAGCCCTGTGGGACGCCCCTCTGTATCAGCAGACTATCTGTAGTATTTTTGTCCGTCATGTAGAACTGACACAGTCTGACACCTGTTTTCCAAAAATGCCGCACAGAGCCCGTGCACCTTACCCCATACCTCTCTAACTTCCACAACAAGAGCCCATGATCAATCATATCAAAAGCCTTTGAAAGATCAAAATAAAGACCAGCAACCTTATCACCCTCATCAAGGCCTCCAATAATAACGGTCACTGTCTGAAATATTGCCACTTCACTAGATTTCCCTGGGAGAAAACCAAATTAACTGCCATTAAGAATGGATGACAAATGCCAGTTGTCGATTGTATCGTGTTCATGATTTTTAAACCAAACTACATGTGAGCTTATTGAGGAAGAAACTAGCTGGTGCATGTGGTGTAATTAAAAAATGTGTAAACATTCTACCCGATTGCATGAAGACTGCAATATACGAAGCAATTTTTAAATCACATCTGCGATACATGTGTATTGTTTGGGCTGCAACTTCACAGACACTAATTCAAAAACTGCAAAATAGATTCCTAAAATAGTTATATCATCTCCCAAGACTCTATCCAACGTCTCAAATCTATAAGGACATTAGGTTGTTGAAAGTTGAACAAATAGTGCACCTAGAAGAATTTAAATGCAAAAGATTATACACAGTCAAGTCAAGATAAATATCAAACCTATAAAAAATTCTTACCTACATGGTTATTGCATTAGACAGAGTGACAATCTGCACATAACATCATCAAGTAACTAACCCAAACTTATGATTTATTAAGTTTATTTGAATTTGGTTTACTAAAGAGATATATAACTAATATAAGTGATATAACCTCAAATATAATTCTATGTTACACAAAGGCTAGGACTCGGTACCAGTCATGTACATACATGTACTGTTTTGAGTTCATAAAGTTATGTATATTGAAAAAAAAAAAATCCTCACTTTACATATTGTAACTCCCTATTGATATCATGTAATTCAACTTGTATTAGCAGATTGTAGTGCTTGCAGAATAAGGTAATGAGAATTGTATTAGGCTGTAGTAGATACCACCCTGACAAGGGTTAGGAAATCAGAGTTGCATGTTGTGTTGGATATCTGTTCAGGAGTCCATTGAATTGTCAAATTTGTTAATAATCTACAAAATAAGAAATAGCTTGTACTCATATTATTTTAATCAGTTTCTAGTTCCTAGATCACAGTCTCAATATTATAATGTGAGATATAGGAGTAATTACAACATTGAATTGACAAGATCGGCAGCCACTGCACCACTACAAAAACAATTAGGTATTTAATAATGGACTTTTTAACGCCCTACCAGAACTACCAGAAGAGGAGAAATCATCTAGCACACATGTTTTTAAGAGTAATTGATAAGCATTCACCAAGGCATTCACTTAAATATTTAGTTTACGTTGTATATTTATTTTCCACTTGTAAAACTGAACTGTACTAGCAAATGCTAAAATAAATAAATGAATAAAATAAAATAAAATTATAATTATTATATTATCTCACTCATAGTAACTTCTTAACTCACCAATTTCCACATCATTAGTCCAATCGGGTGGTGGGCCACTAGCAGAAAAATCACCTGGAGGGTGAGAAAACATTGGTGGTGGCCCTTGCATCATTGGCATTCCAGGTGGAGGGCCCTGCATCGGTGGAGGACCTTGTAACAATAAAACTGGCGGAGGCCCTTGAATACCAGGTGGAGGTCCTTGAATGCCAGGTGGAGGCCCTTGAATCCCAGGCGGAGGTCCTTCAATTCCAGGTGGTGGTACTCCATGCATAAGGACTGGAAGAGTTTGCATTTGCAGATTTGGCGGTGGGCCACTTACAGGCGGAGGTCCTTGAAAAAGTGATGCAGAACCTTGCTGTGGTTCCTTGAAATACAATTATTTCAGAAAATGGCACTTGGATGAAGGGATTGTAGACGCACGCAAAAATATATCAAAATTATGTTTCAAAGGTGCAAATATATAAAGTTTATGTACTTTATTTTATAATATATCTGTTTTCCAGAGAATGTTTAACCTATTAGTGTACAAAACAAAAAGCTTACCTCTGATTGATCTTCCATAGTGTTTCTTAGCCCAAACTAATGACTAAAATAAGTGATTCAATTTATAAACATGCCTTTATTTATTTAGGAAAAGCTCGATAATAAAAACCCTTGCAAAAACCTTAAAAAATACATATACAAATTAATACAACATGCATCACAATTCACAAGCCCGGCCATTCATAAAATGTCATCTAATTGTCAAAAGTCAAATGTGATGTCCGTGTCATGTGTCATTTTTCATTTTCATAATCCAGACGTTCTTTAAAGCGAGAGAGAAAATTGTTCTCGTAGGTAAATCCCTGCTAACAACAAAGAAGACAATATAAACCATCATTAAATGAAAATAAGGGATTTTTAAAGTGTTCTGTTTTATCGTCTTTGAAAGGTAAAAAAAAAAACGGTAAATGTCGTAAATGGGCTCAACCAGGCGGACAAATTTAATTTTTGTATTTTTTATTTTATTTATTTTCCGTTTGTTCAAAAATTAACATTTTCCTAGATGTAAGAGTATAGTTTGGTGTGCTTGCGGGACTATATAAGATCCCTGAATAGTTGAATAAACGACAGAAAAGGTAAAAAAAAGTGTAGGAAAAGGAAAAGTGAATGAACTTTTTGTGAGACCCCGCGACCGACCGAGCCGTCCCAGACGTCGACATCATCAAAAAAAAAATTATTTTAACCACGGGACTCCTCGAATAAAGTCGAACGATTCGTTAGGATTTCGATAAAATAAACAGAACTCGACGCCGTTCATTTACGACAATGTTTTAAAACAATGCTCCTGTTGTATTTAAGCAGTAATGAGATCCCCCGTACAGAGAAAGCGATATTTTCGTGGCCAGTTCCATTTGTGCCAGCAGGTGGAATGAATTGAAACGAAACGCGTTCTACAGCGAATTTTTCGAAGATGATTTGTTGGAAGAGAAGGCTTCCAGGTGCAAATTCAACAATATGAAATGCATATATCAGATCATCAAACATCTACAGAGAATAACATCTTGACAAAATGTTCAAAAATGACAGAAGAGAACCACAGAAGACATGGGATGAATGGAAGTGTTGATAGAATTCCAAAGGAGTGCCACAAGCCTAATTATGGTCAGGGAGGTCGTCTTAAATTCTTTAAAGGTATTTTAAATAATATATTCGGTTATTGAATTATTAGATTTTATTTAGGTAAGAATAGTTTAATTTTTAATTATGAAAACAAAACAAGAAATTTTGATTTGTATTTACCTAATAGTAATATTCTTCTAATAGTCTTTATTTATAGCACTCGGCTAGCAGACATACAAGAAGAAAGTACATATTTACAATATTATAAATCAATTTCTTGAAATATTTCATGCATCAAATCAAAATCATCACCAGTTTACAAAATATCATAGGTATTACCTCAAGTAGGTATTACATTTTTTTTCATTGATATAGGTATCCTCTACATAGTTTTTCAAATTCTACTATCTCAGCACCTTACTTCATTTGGCAGTTTGTTGTATAATTTTAGACCCTTCAAGTAGGTACCTATAAAGTTGTTATGACTAAAATCGAGACTAAAATTCATATTAACTTTACTTATGCCCGTATGCACCGTTTCATCGTTAGGAAAGGCTTAGCAAAGTTATTCTTAAAGTTGAGAATAGTATATTGTGTATTTAGGTGGAAAAGTGACACATTCTCGGCCGACGGTGTAAGTTGACGGGCGAGGCGTAGCCGAGGCCGGCAAACACCGAAGGCCGAGAATGTGCTTTTCCACCGAAATACACATACTATTTTTTCTGCGATCGGTTAAATACCGGTTAAATGTTTGTCTTTTAGTTCCAATTATTCAGCAGTACGAGAATCACTTTCCCGGCCTAGGCCGGAAAAATGTCCACCGGTCAAAAATGCTGACATTTCTTGTCAATTGCAGAAAAATAATTTTTTCTGCAATTTACTTTTCGCGTAGATATAAAAGAAACATAAAATCTGTTTTTTTTTTTAAAGATAAAAGTCAAACTGACATTAGGTTGGCAATACAATGTAAAATTGTCAATGCTATCAAATTTTTCATGTAGAAAAGGCTTGTGTTGCCAACATAGTTACTAAATTTTTGACTTGGGGGAATTATCTTTAAAAAAAAAACAGATTTTATGTAGAAAAGGCTTGTGTTGCCAACAAAGTTACTAAATTTTTGACTTGGGGAATTATCTTTAAAAAAAAAAACAGACTTTATTTGTTTCTCTATACTTTCCGCGGATTTTGTAATAGTGTATTGGTTATTTGGTGTCGGTGTCTATAGAACTATGAAATATTCTAGGCCGCTCTTTGTTTTGTGTTTCTCGGGGTGTTTTTTGAAGGCAAGACTTGTTTCAAATATGAATGATAGAAAAAAGCATGAATTAAATTTTTCACAAAACGAAAAACAACTGTTTATTTCCATGATAAGCAAATATGCTAATATAATTGAAAATAAGAAGACAATACTTGCGAAACGGTGGGTTTTCTCAACCTGAATCGCCGAAAAAAAGACAAATCATCCATTGACTAGAAATAATTTTCTCCAAAAAAATTAAAACTAAAAAATTCTTGGGCCTGTCCTAACCTAACCCCACAATCGCAATAAAGACAGATTTTTGTTTCTTAATTCGAGGATTTCGATGACTTAACTTTAAGAAGAACTTGAGCGAATTCAATTGGCGGTGCATATGAAATTTAAAACTTAAGTTGAAAGGGAAACTAAGAAGAGAATAAAGTGAACGGTGCATACGGGCATTAGTACCTAAAAGTCAGTGGCGTAACTAAGGGCCCGCAGTTGCGGGGGGCCCGTGATCTTGAGGGCCTCGCGGGGCCCCAGACCAGACAACAGTACTACTGGCGACAAGAATAGAAATAGTACTAAACTGAAAGAAAATACTTTAACCTATAAACCTCATAATACATATCAACCATTGGAAAAGTATGTCTGGTTTAACTAAATCAAATCAAATCAAATCAAAATATGCTTTATTGTCATAAAAATTTTTAAATTCTTGTTGACAAAGCCAATAAAATAAATAAAATATAAAACAATATGGTCATTGGAATTACACATGCAGTATTGAACATAAACTTAAACTAACATAATGCCTAACATGCCGTCAAACGAATCGACAAGTTAAAAATAGCAAAAAAAAAAAAACAAATATAAAAACAAAATTTGAATTAGTAGCACATACACAAGTCAAGCACATACACATATTAAACTTAAGATTAAGACTAAAACCTAGGTAGACTTTTTGACTGCTGAAATGAACGTTAAAACTGGTCATCCAGATACTCTGATACACTATAATAGGGCCGCTCCAATAGTAATGCCTTCACTGTAGATCTGAACTTCCTTTCAAATTGAATATGCCTGATCTCGAGAGGCAGTTTATTAAACAATTGTCTAGAAGCAAATATTAAAGAATTTTTTATTTGTGAAGAGACAGGTATCGGCAGCTCTACACTGAACGTTCTCCGTGTGTTGTAGGTGTGTTGACTTGTCAAAATATTGTCCCTATACTTCCTATGTATGAGGCACACAGACTCCAGCACAAATAACGCTGATAGCGTTAACAATCTGTGCCTCACAAACAGTTCCCTACAAGAACTACGGCGCGATACCTTGCACATAAATCTGACTGCCCTTTTCTGCAGTAGAAAGACACTATTGAATAAACCCCTCGTACATGAACCCCAAAAACAAATTCCGTATCGCAAGTGAGATTCTATCAGTGCAAAGTAAACATTCCTCACAATGTGTAAATCTAGCTCATTCGAAAGCATCCTGATAGCATAAGAATTTCTTGACAATACGGAGTTCAGATTCCTAATATGTGCATCAAAATTCAATTTACCGTCTATATATATTCCCAAAAATCTATTTTCATTCAAGTTAGCTAACATATTATTGCCTAAACCTACATTCCCTATCTCACATCTGAAACTCATGATGTTAGTTTTTGATAAATTCAGTGTTAAATTATTCGCATCACACCATTCCCTTATCTTTAAAACATCACTATTAATCACTTCTGTCAATTCTGGACCACTGTTACCGTGCCAGAGAATGGTAGTATCATTCGCGAACATTGTTAAGCGGCCAGAGATGTCAAGGTAAGCAAAATCGTTAACATAAATCAGAAAAAGGAGAGGCCCCAGAACTGAACCCTGAGGAACTCCATAATGCAATCCTCTCTGCTCGGACGAAATACCATTAAAGCTGATACTCTGATGCCTGTTACTTAAGTAGCTCTCAAACCACCTTAGAGCGACTCCCCTGAACCCATAGGCCTCCAGTTTCCACAGCAGCGTTCCGTGACTGACACAGTCAAATGCTTTAGACAGGTCACAAAACACTGCTGCAGCAATCTCCCTGTTATTAAGCCCCAAGTAGAGCCCCTCAAGAAAAGCAAACACTGCATCCATCGTCCCTTTGGATGCTTGAAAACCAAATTGCTGTGGCGCAAGAATTTTATTGCATGCTAGAAAGTAAGTCATTCTTTTTTTGATTAACTTTTCTACTACTTTGGAGAGTGTAGGTAACAGAGCTATGGGTCGGTAATTTGAAGGGCAGTTCTGATCTCCACCCTTATGGAGAGGAAGAATGTTAGCCAACTTCAGGCAAGCCGGAAATGAACCGGAGACAAAAGAAATATTTATGGCTTCCTCCAACACACTGAGCACTGTGTCTGGAAGACAGGAAAAAACTCTCACAGACATATGATCCCAACCTGATGATCTGGAATTCCTTACAACCTTAAATGTCGCTTTGAGTTCTAAAATGTCGGTGGGCGCAATAAAAAATGTTGGAAAAACGCGATCATCCTTAAACAGAGTCTGGAAGTTATTCGTTTTCGGCAGTTGACTAGAGAGAATGTCCGCAACAGAGCAATAAAAAGAGTTCAAATCATCAGGCGTGAGAATAGAATCGACCTTATTCTTGCGCGACTTTCCCCTCATCTCATTAACAATATTCCACGTTTCCTTTGGAACGTTTGCAGAGTTCAATATTCTGCCTTTGTAGTACAACTGTTTGGCCAAAGTTAAAACCCTTTTGTAAATTTTTCTATATTCTCTAAAATATGTCATAAACGATAAGTTATCAAGGCTAAACTTTCTTATGTAATGCAATGATCGCATATTTCGGGACGAAATTCGAATACCCCTTGTCATCCATGGTTTTTTGGATTTTTTGTTTTTCAAACGCTTAATTGGAAATGATTTGTCAAACACATGGTACAGTCTATCATGAAAAATTTCCAATGGATTATTTTCATTCAAGATGCCTACCCATTCCTCTGCATTACACAATTCCGAAAATCTATCGAAGTTTCTTTTACTATATATTCTACCATTCTTAAAACGTTTTGGTTTGTCTTTGCTAATTACTTCGAGTGTACAAATAATAGCTTCGTGATCTGAAAGACCTGCATTGACTACCTCACATTTAACAACATTCATATCTGTACATAGATAATCGATTAAAGTTGAGGATGAGGGGGTTATACGTGTAGGACTGTCAGGCATGACACGCAGTCCAAAGGATAATAGCAAGTTCGAAAGCATTCGTGCTCCAGGATCAGCCAAATTCAAGAAATCGATGTTTAAGTCCCCACAAACAACAATCTTCGCAGCACCACCTATTTGAAATAAAACAGTCTCGAGCTTATACAGAAAGTCCACAACCCTACTATTGGGCGAACGATATACACACAAAATATATACATTCCTATTCTTACAGTAAGCCACTGACAATTCAAAAACCTGTATGTAAAAACTATAATTTAAGAGATCTAAGAGAGAAATGTTCAGATACTCACAGATGCAAAATTAACTGGTTTCAAGTAATGCCACTATTGCTATCTCTGAAACAGGAGGTACGATATCGGTTAAATTAAACAAAAATGGCAGATTTTAGTAAACCATTGGAGGTAAGTTTACAGGGCTGCCAATATTTTTTTTTCGTTTCTGAGATATTAAGGAAAATGTAAACACAACTAGAAGCTGCGTGAAGATAAGAATGACGCCATTTTGTAGAGAAGAAAGAATCTCGAAACTTTTGTATTAAACGCTTTTTCTAAAGTTGATAGATTTTGAAATATTCATATAAGTTTTCGATTTTT